AATCCCACTCAGGGCATGGAAGTGTAGTAGTTTGTGTGTGTGTGTGTGTGTGTGTGTGCGCGCGCGCACGTTTTTCTGTCTTTGTGTACAGGTAGAAGCCTTGCGACGAGCTGATCACCCGCCCAAGGAGTCCTACCAAATGTCTAAGATCTAGTAAACCGAAGTGAAACGGAGAGTTTCACGGAGGTAGGCCAAAGCCCAAATTGGGGCTGTAGCACCAAAGGAAACAAATATTCCAATTTTTATGTTTTTAGGCAGTAGACAAGAAGACAAAATGTCCTGGACTCAATGGTAGCAGCATTACCCGAATTCACTCTTCCCTTAATTTCCTCCTGAATCTGGTTTTCATTTGTTATGTTCCTTCCCAAATATCTGAACTGTCCCACATTTTCAAAACATCTCCTATTTATATTTTTTTCCTTGGTACTACAGCCCCAGTGGGCCTAGGCCTACCTCCAAGAACTTATTTATCTTTATGCCATGAAAATTTTACAGTAGCAATAAATAATGATTCTTACGTAGAGCACTAGAAACATGTATGAGTATTAGGCCTGTTACAACCAAAAAAACATGATAAAACATTTGTGTACTTTTATTTGTGATTTGTAATAATACGCTCTTCCTTCTCGGTTCTGTGATCCCGCCTTAAGCCGCCTAGGATGGGCTGGATAAGAGATCCGTAATGTTCCATTTCCGAGGGCATGTAAGACCTCTGTAGAGAAAGGTGTGGAAGTGACAGGGAATTAAGCTGACACGAAGTATTACTGTATTTACAAGGTGAACATATCCTTATACCGAGACGTAAATCACGTCAACAAGCTAACGTTATACTCTGAGTGATAAAGCCTTTCATGTGATCAAATACAAAACCTTGTGTCCTGTGGTTTAAGGGAACTGCCTGTGGACAAAGCTACAGTGCCTTTGACCCTCTGACAAGAAGGTATAATTGAAACCTGTTTAATTAATGTTCAAAAGTTTATACATTTGAAGACAATGCGTTACACATATATCCTCCAACAGCCTCGCCAAGGAAACAGGCAGCAAGATACAGTAAAACTTGACGCAGTTTATATCAAAGTCATCTATAAGCTGGACCAGCAGTATCTGTTTTACGGTCCCCTTTAAATATACATATATTAAGGCTTACAACGAGACTACAGAGAAATATCACAAGTACTTTAGTTAACAGGAGGAAGATCCTTTAGCCTGTTTTCCTTGTTCGTAAGAAAAGTTGGACTCAAGTTACCAGCCACACTCGTATTTGTATTGTGACATGAGGCCTGAAAGCCAGAATAGCGGAGCCAGAGCAGACGTCCATTGCTAGTCAAAGAATCGGTAAACAGGCTCCGCAAATATGAACACGCACGCAACTACCGTTTCTATGCAACGGTGAGGTAAGCACATCTCTATAACAATAGAGGAACTGTTAGCAACCGGTGCTCTCTGTTGGGGTCGAACCGAGGCTATATAACGACGACAACAGGCAACAAGCAGGAGTAAAAGGCGAAAGATTTATACGCACTGAAGGGAAAATTTACTGGTCGTGGGCCTCAAGGGGCCTGATATGCCAAGACGAACTGATTGGCGGTAAACCGCCAGTCGTAAAGTAACGCACACGCACTCTCGCACTCACACTCACGCTCACGCTCACTCTCACTCTCTCTCTCAAGCTTACGACCGTTCACACGACTAAGCTGCCGTTGTCAATAAGACACGTACGATAGGCATGATCTGCTCTGCAAAGCCTGTACTGACAGAGGACTTGTGTATAGTGTAAAGGGAAGAATTTTCAATAACACGCTATATGTGTTACACGTACACTTAACGAAAGGCCAAGCGTATTCATAAGAGACCAACCCATCTTCTCGTCAGAGAGGATGTTACGTAAAGGCTAGTACCGCAAGGGTTGGCCGCGCCGTAGCTCAAGCGGTTAGTCGCTGGCTTCGCACCGCGGCGGCCCGGTACGATCCCTGGTCTGATCAAGTGGGATTTGTGGTGGACAAAGTGGCGCTGGGGCGGCTTTTCTCCAAGTACTTCGGTTTCCCCTGCCAATCTTCATTCACCAGTTGCTCCACAATCACCCTCACCTATCATCTGGGGCTGGTAAAATTGGCCAGAAGAGGCCGCAGTACAAGGGACTTAGACCCACCCCACTAGCAATACAAAGTAATTACCGCAAGGGTTCAGTTGAAAATGAAAATCTCTGGTCGTCAGTCTCAAAGAGCTTGCCGCCAAGACGAACTGATTGGAGGTAAGTAATTCTGACCTTGACTTTGGCAGAATTAGATTGCAGTCGAAGATAGTGAAGACTGAGAAGATAGCGTGTCCTAGGGATTGAATGTATAAGTGTCCAGTAAATCCGCTTACCAATCCAAATCCCATCTAGAGTCACAATCCCTAACATGTGAGAATATCGTCTAACATCTTTTTTAAACAGAAGTCCAACTTTCATGAAACTTTGCATTTTTATCGCTTATTTCCCTGTCTTCAGTAATATCAACATAGACGATACACATATATAACGTATGAAATAGCGGCCAAGTTATTTTTAATTGTCCAAGCAAATTACATTTACAAAAGTACTGCTGTCCTGCATGTAAGCCTTTACTTTATAGTGACTTCGTTTAAACTATAGAGAACTATATGAATGCGTTGTTGCTATCTGATACGGCTTGTTACAACTGAATCGAGCTTCATAAGATGAGCATCGAGGAAGTAATCTTCTTCAGGACTTAGATTCTTCAATAAACCACAGTGCGTTCCATTTGACTTCTGCATGAAATCCTCTATTCTTAGTTATCCCCTGTGGGCATATGCAATTATACATACCCAATTTTCTGAATGAGAGTAATATATATTCCAGATATAACAGATGAAGCATTGTAGCTCGAAGTTTGAATTTTTGTAAACTGAAAAATCATAAACGTGCTCACATATCTTACGTGTCATGAATAACAAACAGAACAAGCTTGTCTAGAGACGACGGTCTAGAATCGTATTCGTTAGGGAATCTCTTTGAATCTCGACCTGGACACTGACTATCCTGACTAAGGATTTCCGTTGTTTCCCACAGTTCCTTAAGAAAAATGATAGGAGAATACCCCCATTAGACCATGGCCGTTTCCTTTCAAATCTTTTCCAATTTCTCATTCGTCGCTGTAAAATTTCGATACTGACAGCGTCGTTAAACAACATATGAAAAATAATAACAAATACGGTGATGGATGACAATTTTTGTGGCTATATCTAATAAATTTCTGGCAGTGCGTCCATAGCTGAGGTTATAAACCTCTCAAAGTAAATGACCAACAATTGTGATAGGATGTAACATAGTCTTTTCTAATTACAAGAAAGCACTGTTTTCTTTGTGTTGTTTCTAAGAGGAAAAAAATATATCGAATTTTAGGTGGATAGATTGAGCCTTAGTTCTTTTTGACGATTTCTTTTTTAACTACAGTAGTTATATAGCGTCGCATAAGATGGGAATACCATTATGAATGTGACGGGCCCTAAGTGAATTGAGACGTTCGTGGCCAATTTGAAGATATGTCCCAGAATCTGCTTGAATAGAGCTAAGAAAATCATGAGTACATCCGGACTTCAAAAATAAAACAACAAAGTAATATTCAGAGTCTCACCTGTTAATATACATGCTAGGAAGATAGGTCTTTGTTGCATGTTGAAAAAAATCACCACGACGCATGTCGACAGCAGTGGATTCCTTGTGGAAACTGTAATCATCCTCATCATCATCCACGACACCCATTTCTCTGCTTGTACAGAAGCCTAACTCATCGCCCAGAGTGCTAATGGTGTAATGTGGAACTAGAAGAAACTTCTGGAGATGGACGTCGAAATATCTTTTGCAATGCGTATCTTCTATCTTGATATTTCTCGAAGTAAGAGACACATTTATCTGATCTTCTAGTAATGCAATTGGTTTTGTCATCCTGTGTGTAATCCTTTACTTTGTAGTGATTTCTTTGAACGTGCAGAGAACTACATGAATGCGTTTCTGCTATCTGATAAGGTTTGTTAAAATTTTATCCAGTTTCCGCAGAAGGGCTTCCAGGAAGTAATCTTCTTGAGGAGCATTCTGACAGACTGATTCTTCATTAAACCACAAAGTGTTCCATTTTGCTTCTTCTTGCAATCCTCTATTCTTTGTGAACTCCTGTGAGCATTTGCTTATATTAACCAATGACCCAAAAAGTGTTTAGTTCCTTTACAATCTGTCTTACTTGGAGGATGGCTTTCTTTGGAAGTGGTTTTTATTAGATGTTTCCTTTGTTTTGTCCCTAGATACATCTCATTCCTTGCATGTTTAGCTTTACAAGCGTTCTCACGAAGCTTGTGAATATAAGTTAAAATCACTTCTCCGCTTGTAGACAGGAACAGTGGTTTTTATATATATACTCCTATCACTTTTCTTGGTCGAGTTCTTTTCTGAAATTCCCTTTCCTCTCCGCTGCACTTGAATCTTCCTTTCTTCGATGTTTTTCTGACGCCAATGATCTTTCTTTGTCGCGTTCTTTTTTCTTTTCGTTGTTCCAAAAACTCTCAAGCTAATCTGAATTATCGGCTTCCACAGAATCACAGAACTTTCCTTCAATAGTGTATCTGGCTGATTAGGCCTGCATAACCTCAATTTTACGTAAGCAACATTTTTCCGACTATTACGACCTATTGAAAATCTGGTTTGTCTTTTTTAACTTATTAATTCTGGATTTTGGTCCACGGTATTTTCTTGACCAGCACAGTTCGCAAAAAATATTGTCATTACTCTTACACGCACAATTCACTACAGACCGCTACAGACACTGATAATGCTAATAATCGTTACGTATGCAAGCTTCCCCTGCTATTACTTGCATTGCTTTAAATGTTTCTCGGGAAAGAACGAAGTTTTCGTGAACAGAATATAGATGGTACACGGTATTTATCTGGAACAATTCCAACAGTATCGATCATGGATCACTATATCGATATTATATCGAAAGCGGGTAGCAGGGATTTAAGGAGAAATGTTTATGGGATGCCGTGTATGTACTTAATGTTGAAATTGTATTATGTTTCAAACTCCGAAGTGGGATTTTGATGCTTCTTCCGAAAGTTTGTATTCTCAATGGTTCGAATCCGTAAGTTAATACATGTTCATAAATATAATTAAGACATGTTAAGTACCTCCTTTAAATGTTAGGTTAGGATTGTCATTCTCAAATAACAAACGGTTCCAAGTTTCCAAATGTGTTCTTTGGTACTGCACCAATACAAAGAAGGAAGAAAAGAACAGCATTTTCTTAAAAAGATTATTTTGTGTTTTTTAATTTTATCCAAAATCACTCTAAATGTATGTGCTTTCTGTAGAATGAATAGAAGGCGAAGTTTGGAACAGGCAAAATTGTAATTTTAACTTTTAGGATATGAGGATATGGAACGATAAAAGATATGACTGAAAGTCTGTGACCAAAAAATTAGTGTCAGTATATTGTTAATTATTCTGTAAAGGTGAAGCTTTTGGCCTGTCTTGCCTGAAAGAAATAGTAAGGAAGAAACCAAGCAGAATGGGAAGCAAAATGTCACTTTACGGCATTTTTTCTTTTCTAGTAAATTAGTTTTCAGCCCTGATCTGTACTAAGCACTAATTGTGCTGTATCCCCTGCCATAGCATTCTATACCCATCTTTCAAGAAAATATTTACTAGAGTGTTCACAGTTTTACAGAAGGTGCTGTATTCATCATGTTAGTGTATCACACTAATACGAGCAAAAAGATATTTGTGAATTCCCAATACACACATTTCCAAAACATTTTTTTTTTTATTTCTATATAAATTATTTGCTGTAATGTGTAATGTCGTTTATTGTGGGCAGAAATGTATATTGTTGACTGAGGTAATATTTCCCATAAAGTAATCATTTATTTTTCCTGTATTTTGTGATGTATAGATCGTTTAAAAAATGTTTCAGACAATTATACATTATATTTTGATAAATATTTTTGTCGCATACTCATATTTTGTTCTCTAAGCCTTCTCTGTACCAAGCTCAGTTTAACCTTTATGTAAAGGCTTCAGTGTATCAATACAGAACAAAATTAAATCACTTAATCCTTCAGTGCAAGTCACTTATCATAAAGTAATTTTTATAGTTCATTTAACAACATTGTCATTAGCTAAGACTTATAATGTTGGATGTCAGGATCATTAATGAATATTGAGTTTCAAAAGGATGTAGAAGGAAGAAGTCTTAGCCTCTGCTGAGATACTATCCCAGCATTCACCTGGAAAGTTTGCTGAGATACTATCCCAGCATTCACCTGGAAAGTTTGCTGTAAGCCACTAAAACCTCAGTCAACAATAGTCAATGCCCTGGCCAACTTCAGTTGAGGCACCTTCTGAATAAAAACTGGAAGTATTATCACTTGAGGCACCTTTCTTGGCCCATGAAATGTTTGGGAGATATTCTGTGGAATGAACACATGAAAATATTGGAACATTTCATACTTACGAAATTTACGATTATTATCTTTAAAACATAAAAAGACTTTTAACTTTGCTTTTACATAATGATTTCACTAAAAATTCTGCTACATTGAACAAAAATTAACAATCACATATGCCTTTGTGCAAGTAAATCTAGTGATGACACAGTGTGTGACATGTTTTTTGCACTGTATTGTCTGTTAATGTGATTTTGTTATTGTTGCAGCATTCCAGAAATGGAAGAAAGACACAAAAGAAGAGTAAGAAGGGTACTAAAACTAAAAGGATCATAAAGGAACAATTTTTCCCAACACAGGTCAATCAGGATATACACACATCTGTTCCCAATGTTGCAAGCAGTAAAACAACAAAAGTTACCCAAAATTTAATGTCGTTGCCAACTACTGGTAACAAAGTACAAAATGTTGGGAGAAGAAAGGTTAAGAATACAGAAGAGAAAAGGCGAAATCTGTCATGTAGCAAGAGACAGTATCAGTCTTATGAAGATGAAAGGATGGTATGTAATCCTGATTCAAATGTAGTATCAAAGAGAAAGAGAAGACGGCGAGCTTCATCTGATAGTAGATTGGTGCAATATAAGAAAAGAAGAAAGATATTTTCTCAAAATGACCTACTGTTGCCTGGAAGTAATATTTCAAACATGCCTACAGGTTCTGAACATAAACTCATGAAGGAGAACTGGAAAAATCAAAATCAGAAGAAACGTAAAAGGAGCACGAATAATAAAACTGAAAATTCTGAAACACCTGGATCAACAAGCCAATCATTGTACAGTATAAGCAAACTGAAGCAAATGATAGAAACATCAGAGTCTAAAGAACTAAGCAAAGAAAGAATTACTGAAGGGAAGCAGGTTAAAGAAACCGGATCATTGCGCGAAAGAATGTTGAAGAGACTGCAAGCATCACGTTTTAGGTAAATAAGGGGTTGTGAGTTTATAAGTTCTCACAGCAATAAATATTAAAATTGTGTTCTCAGATATGACTATGTTGTTTGGTACATATCTAACAAGGCAGGATGTTCCACCTATCAAATTACTCATGGTCACATCCCAGAACATAATCACCAGTCTTGTACCAGCTGGTGCCTCTGGAATGTTGGTATCTGTCTACCACACTGCACAGCCCCACATTCAAGATCATCATCTCACCACCTTGCCATTTTTAAATTCTTTTTTAATTTATACTTTAATCTCTGTTTGTTACATTGTTTTGTACACCACCTGCTGACAGAGTCGTAAGCTGTTGATACATATCAAGAAATAAATTAACTCATTAACTTTTAAACATGACATGGTGCAAAAATCATGCTTATGCACATCAGCTAGCTACAGGGACCACACTGAAAGTTTTCAAGAATACTGTGTTAATTTTTCAAATGTAAGTTGCATGAAATAAAATAGAAGGCATTGTTGCATTGCTTCCTGACATCACCTCTGTGTTACACATCCTGTGTGACAGAGGTTAAAAATTTGTTCCCATGGGACACATTTCATAAAGACAAATGACCAACAAAAAGCCTCCTTAAGCAATGTACCATACTTCACTTGAAGTGTCAGATTCCTGGGGCCTAATCCTTGAGAGGGGATGCACAGTAGCTGATTGACAGTCGTGGTGTGCAGGTCATTAAATGCCTGTCATTTTAACTGAATCTGAAGGAGCATGTGCTAGCATAGTCGGTTGAGGCACTATGCTACATGCTGGAAGATTTTGGTTCGACTCCTGATGAGGTGGATTTTTTCAATTTACCTAGTCCTTCCAAGCACACTATGGGCCTGTGACCAACTCAGCCTTTAACAGATAAGACTACCAGGAATCCTCCTGGGGAGGGGGGAAGGGTGGCCGGCACATAAGGCTTACAACCTTACTGCCATCTATGAGCCAGTTGTCTAGAGAAAATGTGGGAGCCTTGATTTCTCACAACCCTATGGGCCTTGACAGCCTCTTACAGGAATAGCTTTACCTTTTTTTTTTTTACCTTTAACCCTTGTTCTTCCCCAACCTTCACCTGGAGGTACTGAAGGAAATCTCTATCACAGTATCTGAAAACTCATGTTCAAAGAAGATACCTCCCAAATTTCTGTGTACAACATGACTATGGCATCACCCTAGTCAATAGAAATAGGAAANATACACGGTGCCAAATCCCAGAAGACTGCTTTCTTCAAAAAAATTATAGTGTTACATAGGCCAGTGTTTATCTACAGACATTCACTGACTTGAGTGTTTCTGTCACCTTTCCAGTCTCATGAGAGTTTATCACTGTGATTATGGAGGATGTGTGCTTTGGTGGACCTTTATTTCAGATATCTCAATGAGCAGTTATACAAATCAAGTGGGAAAGATGCAAAGGAGTACTTTGAAGCTGAACCGGAAGCATTCACTGCCTACCATGAAGGTTACCAACAGCAAGTACGACAGTGGCCCATCAACCCACTTGACATCATCATAACAGCTCTGAAAAAGAAGTAAATTAACTATTATGAAACTAGTTTCTGCTACCCACATCAATATTATAAAGTGTTTTGGCTTGTTCTTGTTTCATTATTTTGTAACCAGTAGTTATCCTCCTGCTAGAAGCATGTTACTTAATGACACTAGACTTCCTTTCTATATAACCTTAAGCAGCCTCCATAGTCTAGGGGTAACGTTCCCACCTCATGACTCAAGGTAGGCGGGTTCAAACCCAGCGGAGGTTGTGGAATTTTTAAGGGCGGAAAAATTCAGGGAACAAGTCCTCCAGGAGGGACTTTAAGCCGTGGGTCCCGTGTTGTAGATTTACAACACGTAAAAGATCCTCATGTCTCTAGGAGACCTCTGAGCAAAATTAGGCAAAAGTTTCCTGCCCAAGTAGTTTCCAATGCCTCCGGTAGACGGGGAAGTATCGGGTACCACTGCCAGCCTCGCTGGCTGAACAGGGCTGATAGCGAGCACCAGTACCAGAAGGGTATGGCGACCAGTAGAATATCAAAGGGGGATGTACAATAGACTATTAGTCGCGGTGCATGGGGAAACCCACCCCCTCCAATAATAATAATAATAATATATAACCTTCATTAGCATGGTACAGTGTTACATATATGACTTGTTTTTGTGTGCAGGTCCTCAGGCCTCGTGGTTGCAGACTTCGGTTGTGGTGATGCACATTTGGCTCAATCTATACCAAACAAGGTGCATTCATTCGATTTAGTGGCAAGGTCAAAGGAGGTGACAGCTTGCAACATGGCTCACACACCTCTCTCCAATGCTAGTGTAGACGTAGCTGTCTTCTGCCTTTCACTCATGGGCACCAACCTAAGTGGCTATCTTACTGAAGCAAATCGAGTGCTTAGAGAAGGGTTGGTATTTATGTGAAATCTTTCTTTATAAAACTGATATTTCTATGAATCCCAGCATTGTCTTCTCATGAAGTGTCAAACTTAATCCAATTACCAACGCACTTTTCACTTGTATGTTAAATCTATTCTTTTAAATATTTTTCCCTACAGGGGCCTCCTGATGATAGCTGAAGTCGAAAGTCGTTTTGAAGATGTTCGGGTATTTATCCAGAACTTAGAGAAATTTGGATTTGTAAACACTCTGAAAGACTTGTCACACAATCTCTTTTATTTCATGGACTTCAAGAAGGAAAAATGCATTAGCAAGAAAATGAAAAAGAAGCTACCAGAAATAACCCTTAAACCATGTTTATATAAGAAAAGATAACTAAGAGTATATATTAGAAAATAAAATGCCAAAAAGAAACCACTCCAAAATATTGCATTTTTAATATTTTTATACTGGAGGCTTAGAAACATTAATACTCTAAGTATAGGCAACTCTCATTCATGCTTTATCAATTTTTTCACATATTCTCAGTTGTATTTCAGTCCACAAAGAGCACCCATTCCCTATCCATGGCCACAGCAGAAGCTGCTGAACATACCATGTGAGCTGTCAGTGTTCATTCCATGCATTAGTTTATGCGACAGTTCCCAGGAATGCAAGCTGCCAACCCAACCCAACCCAACCTTCCCCCTGTACAGTATGTCTGGCACAATACACAGTGCAGTGAAGATATTTTGGACAGCAAACTCCACTTGCTGAAAGGTGTTGTGTCGACAGGAATATAGCAAGTAGTATCTAATAGTCATTCACACAGCAGGATGCAATAAAACATGAAATATATGAGCTGTGTCAAAACTGCATTTCTTATAGATGTTGTGAGAGCTTCATCAGTTCCATCATGTAATCATGCATCTGCAACACAACTAGATCAAAGCACTAATGAATAAGACAGATCTGTGAGGTTATGTTTATGAAACATGTCATTCTGTACTTCTCAGTGTACAAAAATATTGTGTTCATTCCTGCTCTCCCATCCTTTAATAAATTCTGAACCAATTCAGCTGATGTGGATTGTGGCTTTGAGTTATGATGCTGTGTACTCTGGTAGGTGGTTACCAATATTTTGGAAGAACCAGCTACACCCATCTTCAGGGTAAAATAAATGTAAAGTTATCCCTGTAACATGCCATGAAGGCCCATACAGTTGTGAGATATCCAGGCTCCCACATTTTCTAGACAACTGGCTCACAGATGGCAGTGAGGTTGTCAGCCTTATGCCCTTGCCACTCTTTACCCCAAGGAAGATTCCTGGCACTCATTTCTATTAGAGGCTGAGTCAACCCCACGGCCAAGCTGGAAGGATTGTCACTTGAAAATTCCAACGACTTCATTGGGAATTGAACCCACAACCTTCTGGCTCATGAATAGTGCCTCAACCAACTATGTTACCACATATCCCTCTTTCCAGTTGCAGGGGGGGGGGGGGATTTCCCCAGGGCATGAAGCTGGCCACTCCCCTCCATCTAGTGCTGAAGTTAAGAATGCATGCAGCTATACCTCCACTCTCCACATGTTTTCATGTCAAGCTCTATTAAGAGCAGAGACAACTTGACCTGACCTCTAATTGAAAAAAAAAAAATGCACACAGAAATGAATATCACATAATTAACTATAAAAAGATATTATCAGTGCTCCACAAAAAAGGCATGTGATAATCAGAAGCCACTATTAATACTGGCATTACACAAATATATAAATATATAAACGATATAAAAAAAACATACCTGATTGAGAGATCTCAAGTTTTCACAGCAGTGAAGATTAATGGTAATGTCTGGGTTACAATACCATGTAGTCCAGTAGATGAGCATCATTTCAGAGCCACAATATAAATACCCAATATTTTCCATACACAGCAGGTTCAGTAACTGAGGGAAAGTTATTCAACCTGGAAGCCCTCATTTCAGAAGCATTGTGATGCATTATATGATCTGTAACACTGCTTGTTCAATTTCAGTTATGTCTATAAGAATAAGACTATACAGTATGGCATCTTGTACCTTTCAATAATCACATTCCTTCACTTCATTATTTTACAACACTGTGAAGCACAAAGGCCCTCAACAGTGGTGGCTTGTGGCTCAAATAGATGGTGGGGCTAATATTAGACAGTGATACATTCTTACATTGTTATATAATAATAATAATAATAATAATAATAATAGTAGGTAGTGGTGATGCGAGTTGTAGTACAAACTCCTACTTTAAAACATGTGAAAACATCTTGCACCTAGCAGTATTAGAAAATTTAAGCATGTTCCATTGTAATTCATGCCATTAATTAAAATAATGCTTTAAAAGTTACCTCATTTATACAGGAACTGCGCTCGTCTATTCTTCTGGGAAGCAAACAAATCAATCACTTTTTGGTTGACTGCTAGAATCTCTGCAATCATGTCCTTATGAATGCTAAGTACAGCCAGTGCCTTCAGACGTTCTTGACCCATTGAGTTCCTTAGATATGTCTTAACTCTTTTTAGAGTGCTGAAATTACACTCGGATTCGGCAGTTGATATTGGAGTTGTAAGTACAATATCTGTCAGTTTGTGTATTTCTGACAGAGCGGCTTCCAGATTGTTCTCTCTTATTAATGTCCAAAGAGCAAGAACAGTCTTTACGTTTGCAAATGTGTCATGCCTATAAAGGACACTAAGTTCGCTTTCTAACTTATCTTTCGAGAGCAAAGAATATTTTACAGCATTGATCACAAGCTCTCTAGGAAAGGCAACTTCATGTGCTGCAAATAAGTGCAGTTCAATTAATGAAAAACATTTTGTGTGATGCGCTTCTTCGAAACGATGTTTCATCTGGTTCACTATTATGTCACACACCTCTTGTGTTCACATCTTTCCGCGCACATTTTGTTGGACATTCTGAATTTCGTTCTAGTTCATGCAAATTATTTCTGATGACATTTATTGCAGTTTCGAAGTGCTGAATTGCAGTACGAATATTTAGAGAATTTCCTGACAATTTCTGTATTGTGTTGTACAGAATGTCTACATGTAAAAGAACAGAATTAAAAAATGACAACAAATATAAGAATTCCCCATCGTTCAACAAATTAGCCAGTCCTATGGACTCTCGAATTGTAACATCATCCCAATCATCTTCATTTTGAATCATGTCTAAACACTGAAGTAGAGCATCCTTGTTGTTGAAAACAGTATTTACAACTCTACTGTGAAAGTTCCAGTGCGTTTCTCCAGTCTTTGGCATCGCCCGGCCACACACAGTTCTTAATAAGTCCAAGCGCTTGGGCAAAACAGAGAAGAATGATGAAAAGCCCGATACATTGATAAAAAACAATTTCATTGATTTTACAGAGGAACATGCTTTCTTCATTACTAAGTTTAGCTGATGTGCGTAACAGTGGATGAAATGTGCATAAGGAAATGTATGTCTTATCTTTACCTGGACCCCGCTGTTCGCTCCACAAAACGCGGGAGCGCCGACATAAGATTGAGCAATTAAATTTTGTTCAAGGTTGTACTAATTCTTGTTTAAGTACTGATGCTAAACCTTCTGAAGTTCAATCCTGAATGTGAACAAAGGAAATGAATCTCTCAACAGGACCACTGCTATTGACATACTGCAGCAGAATAACTAATTGGGACATGCATGACACGTCAGAGGTTTCATCTGCCTGGACAGCTACATATTTTGCATTTTGAATTTCTAGTTTGACAGCTTCCTTGTATACCGCATATATACAGCCCAGTAATCCGTTTTGAATTGTTTTCGACGTGTTTTTTGACACAGTTGCACTATTTAAATGTTCACTTACAATATTATCTAAAGCCGCTAGATACTACATGAGATCCAAAAATATCCCGCAATTGTAAGAACTCTCGCGCTCTTCATGTCCCCGAAGAGGAAGTTCATGCGTTCCACAAAACTTTATACAATTAATTACCCTATTTAATATGTGTCTGTTTTTATCCACAAGTTCATTGTAACGCTGAATAGAAACCCTACAGCTATCATTTAATTGGGTGAAAATATTGATAGAACAAAAGAGATTAACTTTTACATCATTTTCAATATGCCTTTGCGATGCTTCGTGTTTTCTAACTCTTTCTGACAAATGTTTAAGGTCAGTTATACCTGTCACAGTCCAACTCGTTTCCCCACCATACAATAAACACACAAACAAAAAATTGATTTCTTTCCTTCACTTACAGTCAGCCATTTTGTGAAACCAAGATAACGGAAATGTTCTTTTCTGAGTCTTGCAGTTCTGATAAAGTTTGAAATCTGTTGGTTGATGCCCACCAAGAGTTTTTACTTGTAACTTCTCTTCTAAACTCAAAGTTGAGAACGGTGATTTCAGAAGGGCATCCACCCTATTCATATTAATCACTAATTCTAATACGAATACAATATTAACCTAAAACCTAATTTGGAAATTACACTTGAAAAACAACTTTAATTTAGGCCTATGCTAAAATTACTTTATTCCCGAACTTGTATCTTCTCCACTGCTCAAAACACAACTGAAAGATGGAATCTGAATGGTGTCTGAAAACCTACCCTTTGCCTGTTCTTACAAAGAGCATGTTACTTAAGGCTGGAAGAATAGAGGTAAGTTCACAATAACATCCACACTCCACCCATCCCTTTCCACCTTGTGTATAGTTTTCTTTTTTATTGCAGGCTTGTCAAAACTAACCCCAAGCGTGACATTTCAAGACACATGCAATACTTAGAATCCCTGAAAGGTTCACTGAACTTAAGGCTGCTAACAATACACGTGGTAAGGGCTAGAGACGAGCTAGCACCTGTGTTATTCTAACCATACAAATAAGCTGTGATATGGCCAAGACATCACTACTGCATTTTCGTGTCTCCTTAATTACATCATGATAACGAGAAATATTAATATTTTGATACAAGTTTGATCTTGATAAACAGAATAAAATGTGAATGAATATGAAAATTCAATATTACAACAAAATCAGGTGGGGCTTAGCCCCTCATGACACACCGCCCCTGGCCCCCAAGAAAAATTTGTTGTGTGGGGTGGGGTGAGACTGAGTCCACTTGGTATGTCAGCTACTAAATTGGCCTATTGTACCAGTTCTGGATGATCAATGAATTGAGCATTTGGTGGAATGAGTACTGGCAAGAGATACTGAAGCGGTCAAGAGGAAACCTTCCCTTGTGCCACTTAGTCCACCACAATCCCACATGGCCTGACCTTGGAACAAACCCAGGATGCCATGGTGGGAAGCTGGCGACTAACCACCTGAACTGTGGTACAGCCAAGCACAAAGTTTAAGTACAGGGGTGTAGTCCTGAAGTGAAATTCCTGGGACAATCTAGCACACAGTTCCTGTCTGAAAGATATGGATGGAACTTGTACCATAAAGCCATTCTTGTTGTTACTTAACAATAACTTTTAAGCTCTTAAAAACAGAAGTGAGCAACAAACAGCTCATAGAGCACACAACATGTCTACTTAAAGAGGCTGATGCTTCCATCTCAAACACAACGGTTAGAAACAAAATTAGCCATAATTCATGAAGTACTATATCTTCTGGGATATAATACCATGTAGATCAGCAGAATTTCACTGATATTTCAGAGGATGTGCTGCCTCCACCTTCAGGGTCGAAGACAAAGCCAAGCAAGAAATGAGCAGCATGCAGGGCAAAATTCTGATGGGGACATCTCTTGGAAAGTGGCTTGAAAAACCAGGAAAAATATGGCAATACAGAATTAGAATGGGAGATGGACTGAATTGGCTTAGGATCATGTCCCATGTCATACAAAAGAACAATAAATTTTGTCTTTTACTTTGTCTATTTACAAAATATGGTCTCCTACATAAAGAAAATAAAATGTACTACATGTATCTGAAAATGAAGTTCTAACAAAAATATCTGAACTTAACAATGTAAAAGGAAAGTTGCAAATGAAAATTACATAATTAGGAACTCTTGTGACATTACTTTCACATATTTTTAGTGGTATTAGGATTTAAGGGACTCAGAGCTTGAACAAAAGGGAGCAACAAGTGCAGACAACAAAAAACTTGGAAACAGATGACAGTCAAGACAAGATAGAGATGGGATTATAATGGTGAATAGGATATTAGGACAATATGAGTGAGGTGAAATTGCAGGTGGCAGGCAGTGCTGAAACAAAAAATTAATTTCTGCATTACATATTATGTGTATTTACAGGAGAAAAAAAAATACAACATGTACAATAAATCATTTACTCTTTGAACCGAGAATTTGTCAAAACAAATCAATATTCTAAATTAAACTTGTTTCCAATTAGTTTGGACAGCAGATAATCTAATTCATTTAATTCCATTACTGTCTGATAACACGAACTTAATTCAATCACCAATTACTTTCAGTTCGGATAATTGACACTTTAAGGAAAACATTTTTACCAACATTTTAACACAGTTTTCATAGCCGCTGTAATTTTCATATCTGTTGCCTTCAAATTCAAGGCAGTACTTGTATTGAATACTTACAATGCACTGAAAAGTATGAAAAACTCAAATTCATCCTAAATTCTGTCCAAAAATGTAGAAGCCACTGGACCATACTATATAATTTATGGTAGTAATTATGGTTGACTGGATCTTCGCTGAATAATACAGTATAAACATTCTATTACTAACAAGCCTATTAGTATTGTGTGTCTATAACATCTCTGAGGGTGTCATCAACAGACAGCACACAGATCATTAAATCATCATTGAGAAGTTATTAGATTCTATTTTCAACATAAGATGAGAATACCACTATACTGGAAATCTCTGTGAACACACTAGACTTTTCTTCTGTAAGGTTGCCTACTCTGTCATACCCACAAAGATGTTTTAGATAAAATACAGATACATTTATGGTGATCTTGATAAAATATATGCATAAATACAGTCAAAACGCCATTAAACAATGTAATTCTACATTTTATACAATCATCAGCTTTTCTGCAATCCATGTCACCATGCACAGGAAATTTGGACAGGAGCAATGGTCTTCCTATGACAAACTTCATCAGTGGTCAGCCCTGGCTAGGCATAGAATACAGATCTTCAGTTCTGCATAGTTAGCACCAACAGATATCAAGAGATGTTAAGCAAACTGGTTCTGGCTCTGGCATTTGATTACATCTATCTGAAGGGCCCTACTGAGATCATGAGGTGCACAAGGAACCCCGCAGTGCTCCAAGTGCTTGGAGCAACTGGAGGTTATGTCTCCCCCCCCCAAAAAAAAAATTAATACTAATCCATGCTGTAAACAAATCTCCAAAACAGAACAGCTGATATTGCCATATGATGATTCTAATAAAAAAATTTCAGAATTAAATAATTACCAGTGCTTATGTATTAACAGGTGACCCAATCAACTTCAAAAGTTATTGCTACATTATCAACTACATTAGCACTGCCAACAATGGGAGTCTATTTGCAACCCCCCCAACTGAGCCTAACCTTTTCAGATTGGAACCAAAGGTCTATCATCTTAAAAACATAAGCTTAATCTTCTGGGCTTGTCAGGCTTCTACAACTGACAGCATAACATTTTAAAGTTTCTTGGATCACCCACTAATACACAAGTTCCTGAACTCTTCAACACGTGGGAAACTTAATTTATCGTGAAACATGACAAATGACCACAAATTTTAAACTGTAATCACCTTTACAGAAACACAAGATGGAAATTTTTCTAACCTTATTTCACTGCCGTCAACATATGTCTGCATGGATCTTTGATACCCGGATGGAAGAAATCCATTCCACTGACTGACCCTAGGTGAGGAAGTCGAAGGACGAGACATCATCAAACTGCTGCTGCTGTTGCTGCTGCTGAGGCTGGCCACCAGGGTTCTGCTGTTGCCCTCGCAGACCTCCTAACTGCTGCATATTCAGTACCTGTTGGCGATATTGCGGCTGCTGCTAGACAAAACATTCTCATAAGTTTATGTCAGCAGATACTAAAATATTCAGCACAAAAATTTTTTGGCTAAATTTAAAAATATACCTAACACGATTAAAAGAAAGGTTTTTTTTTCTCATTTTCACATTACTAACCACAGTTGTGTCCTTTTAACAAATCGGAAGATACAAATACAAAGTAAAAGTGTAAAATCTAAGGCTAATAAATCCTTTAAAAAATGTGGCAAAGTTTGATTATTTAGGAATTAATATTAAAATAGATCTTAAACAAATAGGGTATAAGGGTAAAGAAAAGGTAAAGCTATCCCTGTAACAGGCTGTGAAGGCTCACAGGGTTGCGAGACATCGAGGATACCACATTTTCTCTAGACAATCAGCTCACAGATGCTGGTAAGGTTGTCAGCCTTATGCACTGGCTGCACTTTACCCCCAAGAACATTCCTGGTACTCATTTGTTAAGAGGCTGAGTCGACCCCCGGACCATGGTGCAGCTGGAAGGATTAGATAAATGTGTGGACATGAATAAACTGGCTGAGAACTGGGTCCAGTGGTGGGCTCTTGTTATGTTAATGAACCTTCAGGTTCCATAAACATGGATTACTTCTTAGTATTAATCTCACCAAGCAAGCTGGCCCAAGCAATAGAACTTCTGGCCTGCACTTTAGAGGTGCTCAGTTCAAATCTTGGACAGAAGTATTTTGCGGCTTTCCTCACTCCCTCCAGACAAATTCCCGGATAATCAGTACCTTAAATTAGGTCACAAGCATCTTTCCATATTATTTCTAACATATTGATCACCATCATCCAATCATTTGATGCTACATAGTCTTGAATTACTGATAGCATCATTAAATGAACTACAAACAGCTTTATACACTGCGTTCATTGAAGGAAACTTCACAACACTGCTGACTGGGCCCAACATACCTCACAGATTGCTGCTGTAACTGCTGATAGCAAAAGGAGTCATTAGCACTGATAAATGGGCCCGCAGTCAGGTGGCATAATCTTGTCACTGCACTTAAGTCACATTAATGGTCAGTCTGTGTTAGAGATTTCGACAGGCGGTCAACATTTATACTGAAATGAAGTTCACTATTGAACAGCTTGTGTTTATTGTCAAAATTTTTCCACGCAAAAAAAACTTACGGAAAATGTATCAGTAAGTTTCATCATAAATATCCTGACATGCCAGTTCCCACAAAGTCGCACATATCCAAGTTTCTGAAAAAGTGGCATAAAGAAGAAATCGAAGAGGATTGTGCTGACTGAAGAAAAAGTTTGGGATACTGTGGCATGACTACAGATCAGTCCTCGAAAATCGTTAAGATGCTTAGCACAGAAGACCAGTGTTTTGCTAGGACCTGCTTTCACAGCCACAAAATTAATCAAATTTCGCCCGTATAAAATAACAGTTGTGCATGAGCTGAAACAACCAGATTATGCAGCAAGAATTCGTTTTTGCAACTGGCTGCTGCAAAATGTTCATGATGGAACCGTGGATCTACAGCTTCTGTTCATGACTGATGAGGAGTAGTTTCACATTAGTGGTCATGTCAATGCACAAAATGTAAGAATATGGATTGACAAAAATACTCATGCTATACAGCAAGTGCCATTACACAGTGAAAAGGTGGGGGTGTGTTGTAAGTCCACGGTGAATCACTGGCCCCTTATTTTTCCACAAAACCGTGAACTCTATCTGCTACGTTAATGATATATTGAATCAGTCCTTCAAATAGCTGACTGCTGAAGACAATATGGGTATTTTGAGCACATACAGCTAATGCAACCATGGTCACAATGCGGGAAGTGTTTGAAGACAGAATAATCACCAGGAGACCGTGGCCTCCCAGATCCGCAGATCTGTTTTTGCAATTTTTATCTTTGGGGAACACTAAAGGGAAAAGTCTACAAGAATAATCCTCAGACCACTGAAGCTCTGCAGAAGAAATAACATGCATAATTAGTTCAATTACCAGGGACCAACTTCAGAAATTGTCACATAATTTATTTATGCAATGCAAGGTATGTTTGCAAGGAGAAGGGGGTCACTTTCAGCACCTGTTATAAAGCACAGTAAGTGTGTGTTATCTTTTTGCAGTATTCTTATGTGTGCATGTACAGAAACTGATGTGAGGGAATAGTTGCGGGGAAACGATCCATCTGCTCTTCACTAGCGAGAGTGAGTGTGTTTATCAGCACTGATGACTCATTCCACTATTGGCAGTTACAGCAGCAATCCGTGAGAAATACTGTATCCAACTCACACTGCTCACCCGGTTTTCTCGATGATTGAACACCCTGTATAACACTCATTGGGGCAGTCTTAAGATATGGAATACAAATTACATTTCTAGCCACAGCCATGTCAAACTCATACCTGCTGGAGGAGATGTCTGAGTCCAGGGTTGTTTGCCAGCACTGGTCTTACCATCCTTTGCTGTTGGTTTGGCTGTTGTTGCTGCTGTGGTTGGGATGGCTGCATACCTTGAGGAGCCATCTGGCGCTGCTGCTGCTGCTGCTGTTGTGTAAGCTGTTGCAGCTGAACCCGCAGCTGTTTCTGTTGCTCTTGCTTCAATTCACATGAAATAAATTAACAGGTATAATTATGGACTTTCTGGACACTAACAATCTTCCTGCTTCATATTTAGAAACAAGATATTTTGAGAACTAATCACCTACTTTCTTTTCATACAACACAAATTGCATGGAAAACAATGTATCCAACAATTCTTCTACTGTTGCATGTATTCATTGCTGTGGGAATGTTTACTGAGCTACTGCCTAGCAACTACAGAGGGGATACAAATATGCGCACACAGACTGATGTGAGGGATTTATGAAGATGCCGTTCAGACGGCCTCAGGTGCCATGAGACACATACTAAGTTTAATAAATACTGGTTCAGGCATTTTAAAGTTGATAAGAGGGATACACAGACATTAACCTTTAACGGCGAATGTCACATATATATGACACAAGCAGCAATCCGAGTTGGCCGAAAGGCACATATATATGACGCAGGACACATGCTCCCTTTGGGTGTGCTGATAGTTTGACCTTGGGTTTGAAACCAAAACGAACCTACTGAGGTCATGTCAGTGGATCTTTCCTTAGCTCTGAACAAAAAAATTGTTTATCACGGTAATGGTTTCGATACTATTTACATTTAGATATGACTGTATAAATATAAGCCAGCTTTGTTTTGAGAACTGATGAGGAAATATTCTTCTGTACTTGCGAGTGCTTCCAGAGCCTTCAAGGAAGTGTGACGCATGCAAGGATTGGTTTTCAGTGACGAATTATCAGTCAGGAAGTCAGTCTTGGATTGTCTAATATTTCTTTATCAGTTAGAAAGTCAGTGTCAGACTCATATATTTCTTTGTATATCATTTTTATTTTGTGTCTTGGAAGAGGTATAAACCCACTTAGCCAGTATTACTTTGAGTAAAAGGCATCTTCGCCACTGCAACTTTCGGCATCAGTGTCGGACTGGCACTCTTTTTTACTAGTATTATAATTACGTTGCATCACTATTTTGCAAGTATTACCAACAGGTGAGAGTGTCGCTTTGTCAATCAACATAATTTATTCGATTTTGCTAGAAACCCCCCTCCCCCAAGATGATTCTTCAATCGCACAAGCCGAATATCACAGTCAGTGCCGTTTCTTAGGGGAAGGCCAAAGTTATCTGGGGGACCAACTGAGTTGACTGGAGGTGAAACATTCACAACACTGGTCAACCAAAGGGAAACAAAGACGCTGTTGTGTGTTTCGCTAAATAAGAAAAGCAGGAGCACGCTCTTCTATTGTAAAAAGAGTGGTGTCGCTCTGTGTGAGGTGGACTGCTTCGAGAAGTGCCACGTGCGTCAGAGTGTATCGTAAACTGTGAAGTGACGCAGTTCAAACTCGTGTACAGTCTGAAAAAAATATTATTGTATATAGTGTGACTATATTTACAATATCACCATGATTCAAGGTTGAAGAAAGAACAACGGGTAAGTCCTTTGGAATTTCATAACATATATATATAAAAGATTATATTTTTCATTTCATGATAAAATAATCACAGTCAATTTTCGTTTGTAAAAATTGCTCATTTGAGTATGTATACATACATTTGTATGTAGAAAACTGTATTGTCTTTCAGACTGTTTTTAGTTCATATTTCTATGTTGCATAGAACAGAAAATATGTATTTTTTCTCTGAAAGTTTGCAATGTTAATTAATTAGGGCGATTTAAATACAGGCTGCAGAAGGCTCCAGGCAATTTAAAAGTCTATACATTAAAGGTTAAGGTGACTTCTTAAGTCTACTCTTATTTTTTCTAAATAAGGAAAGTAGTCCAAAAAACGATGTTTCTGAGACTGGACTCCTCCTCCATCCTCAGACAAAAGTCTACTTAGTTAGATCCAATCAATGGAGCTAGTCCCTACCTCTCAACACCAGTACCAACACAAGGCAGGATATACACACCAAACACAACACAGACCATCAGCAGGAGTTGCAACAAACATTACAAAACTCCATTCACATGAGGCCTTATAATACCTACACGGCGTGTCCAGGATCCATTAGGACTAATTTTTTTAAATTTTGCCCTGCAATGCCATCTGTTGGCGAGTTGCGGCATTAAGATTCTTGAAGTTTCAGCTGTGGCTGACTATAATTTCAAAGTGCAAGCATCGGTGCATCATGTGTTCTGACCTTGAATGTAACAGTACTGTTCTGACGCTCATCGGAAAATGGCGGATGAACAGAGAGCCAACATCAAATTTTGTTTGAAGTTAGGCAAAACAGCCAGAGAAACATATGAAATGATGGTGTACGGTAGTGATTGTTTGAGTCGCTTGAACATTTTTTGATGGTATGCCGTATTTCGTGATGGCAGGGAGGACACTGAAGATGCTCCACATGCATTAAAGCCGAGAACAAGTCGCATCAAAGAAAATGTGAAAAAAGTGACCAAAATCCTTGCATCAGACAGATGTGTTTCTGCAAGATTCACTGAGGAGCTTTTGGGAATACCATAAAGTACTGTGCATCAAATTTTGACCGAGAATTTGGGAAAAAGGAAGGTCTGTGCGCAGTTTGTACCACACATGCTGTCAGGCGATGAAAAACATGGCAAAGTGGAAACACTGCAAAGACATGTTACAGTTGGCCCAAAGTGACACAAAATTTACAAAACCGATTGTTACTGGTCCCCCTCATTGGTGTCTCCACCTTATCGTGGTGAGGGGGTTTGAGTATGCCAAGGACCCTGAGAGCTATACCAGCGGTAGCGTAGCTACCGGCAGGGCCTCCCTTGCTGGACAGGTCAAAGGGTAGGCATCAGACGAAGAGAGACATCAAAAACTGATGCCGGAAGCAGCGTCATCAGTAGCGACTTGAAGCACAGAGCAAATGATGCTCGAGATGGTTCAAGTTCGTATAGCAGCAGGCGTGACCAGAGTGGTTTGAACGGCTGCTGTACTGCGATGTGGAAAGCAAATGGAAAAACTACCACATTATCACTTTTCCTGGATAGTCTCTTTCCAAAAACAGAGATACCATATATGCGAGATGTTTCCTCTGGAGGCAAAACAATCCGGAGGTAAACTACTCCCCCAATCGGATCTCCGGGGGGGAGTGTTTCTAGAGGAAATGTCATGCAGGCGTTACAACAAGAAAAAGTGCGAAGATCAGAAGAAACAGCATGGATACAAGATTGGAACATGGAATGTCAGGACCTTGAATCAAGCAGGAAAATTGGAGAATTTGAAAACGGAAATGCAGAAGAATGAAGTGTCTGTTCTAGGTGTCAGCGAAGTGCGGTGGAAAGGACAAGGTGAAATAAGAAGCGGTGATTATACAGTGTATTATTCCGGAGGTGAACGGGCTGAAAGAGGTGTGGCAATAGTGGTGCATAAAAGTGTAGTGAGGAGTGTTGTTAAGAAGATTGCTTGTAATGACAGAATTATTGCTCTGAAGTTAAAGGCAGAACCGGTAGATATACTGATTATACAAGTGTACATGCCAACATCAGAGTATGAAGACGATGAAGTGGAAAAAGTGTATGACACAATTGAAGAAATTCTTCAGGAAGATGGAAGAGGAGACACAAACAGCATCATATTGGGAGACTGGAACAGCATTGTTGGAGATGAACCATATCAGAATATTGTTGGATCACATGGACTAGGAAGACGGAATCACAGAGGTCAAATGCTTATTGACTTTTGTGAACGAAATGGATTGATTGTTACCAACACTTGGTTCAAGAAGCCAAAGAGAAGAATTTACACATGGAAGGCACCTGGGGATTGGAAGAGGCATCAGCTGGACTACATCCTTGTGAAACATCGATTCAGAAACAGTGTGAAGGATGTGAAGACGCTTCCTGGGGCAGACATTGACTCTGACCACAACTTGCTGGTTGCCAAGTTCCGAACCAGGTTGAAGAAAATTATAGGATTTCGAAAGCGCAGACCCAGATGGGATTTGGAGAAGTTATATGCTCAAAGACAAAGCGTGCAAGAGACTCTAGAAGAGAAACTCGGTGCAATTGAAGGTGAAAGCGGAAATGCTGAAGCGCAGTGGAACGATATAAAAGAATGCATGTTAGATACTATCAGTGATTTGGTAGGTAAAGTTGAGAAGATAGCAAGAAAACCATGGGTTACACAGGAGATGATGAGTAAAATGGAGGAGCGAAGGAAATGGAAGAATGTCAACAATGAAGAAGGCAGGAGGAAATACAGGAGACTGAGGAATGAATTGAAAAGAGCCACGGACAGGGCCAAAAAGGAATATCTTGAGAAGATATGTAATGAGATTATGGAATTTCAAAGAACAGGCCGTTATGATTTGATGTACATGAAGACAAAAGAACTAGGATGGAAAGAGAATCATGGGATTCAAAATGTTGGCATCGAAGACTCCCAGGGGAATAGAATAGTAGATCAGAGGCAAGTGCTGAAAATTTGGGAAAATTATATTTCAGAACTATATGATCGACCTAATCGGCCAGAAACCTTAGAAGTTGAACCGGAAGAAGAAGTAGATACAGACGAGAAAGGACCATATATTTTACAAAGTGAGGTGGAAAAAGCTATCAAGGAAATGAGGAAGGGAAAGGCTACAGGAGATGATGATGTACCTGGAGATGTGCTCAAGTTACTGGGAGAAGGTGGTTTGAAAACACTGACAAAACTAATGAACACCATATATGAAAGTGGAGAGTGGCCCAAGGACTTTACAGAAGTTACAATGATTGCCTTAAAGAAAAAGACAAAAGCTACAAAATGCAGCGACCATCGCACAATAAGTCTTATTGCACATACAGCAAAGATAATAGCAAAGATACTTAAAAGAAGAATTGAAAGGAAAATAGAGGATGTACTTGGAGAAGATCAGTTTGGATTTAGAAGAGGAAAAGGAACCAGGGATGCAATTGGGATGATGAGAATTATAGCGGAACGAACTTTGGAGATAGATGAAGAACTGTGTGTTTGCTTCATAGACTGGCAGAAGGCATTTGACCGGGTAAACTGGACCAAATTAATGCAGATCCTGAAAGAAACAGGTATCGATTGGCATGAAAGAAGATTGATTAGCAAATTGTACATGGATCAGAAAGTTAGAGTACGACTGGACAGGGGGGAGACAGGAAGTGTGCAGATTGGAAGAGGAGTTCGACAAGGATGCTGTTTATCACCAATTCTGTTCAACTTGTACAGCGAATGCCTTACCAAGGAAGCTCTGGATGGGCTCGGTGACTTCAAAGTAGGAGGGCAAATTATTCAAACTGTGAAATATGCAGATGACCTTGTGTTAATGGCTAAGGAAGAAACTGTGCTACAGGGCATGATTGATAGACTAATTGAAATTGGAAGGTGCTATGGCATGGAAATGAATGTGGAGAAAACAAAAGTAATGAAAATTTCGAGACAACCAACCCCAGTCACAATAAAGATAGACCAAAAACAAGTGGAGAATGTGAAATGTTTTAAATATTTGGGTAGCTTGTTAACAGATGATGGAAGGTGTACTTGTGAAATTAAATCCAGGATTGCCATGGCAAAAGCTGCATTTAGCAAGAAGAAGAATCTTTTTACCAGCAAATTGGACTTAAATTTGAGGAAGAAACTAGTGAAATGCTACATTTGGAGCATAGCTCTGTATGGGGCTGAAACATGGACACTTAGGGCAGTAGATCAGAAACATCTGGAAAGTTTCGAAATGTGGTGTTGGAGAAGAATGGAGAAGATCAGTTGGACCGATTATGTGAGAAATGAAGAAGTGTTAATCAGAGTCAGTGAGCAGAGGAATATCCTACATGAAATAAGAAAACGGAAGGCTAATTGGATTGGTCATGTTTTACGCAGACACTGCCTTCTAAAAGAAGCTATCGAAGGAAAGATAGATGGGCGGATAGAAGTGACAAGAAGACGAGGAAGAAGACGTAAGAAGATGCTGGATGACCTTGGGGACAGAACAGGATACTGTCATTTGAAGGAGAAAGCTCTAGATCGCATTAAGTGGAGGAACTGTTTTGAAAGAGACTGTGGACCTGTTGTCTTGACAGATTACTGATGATGATGTTACTGGTGACAAAACATGGTGTTTCCAATATGAGCCTCTCACAAAGCAGCAGAGTGCAGCGTGGTTGAGCCCAAAGAAGCCGAAATCAAAGAAAGTGTGCATGCAGAAGACTTGAGTAAAGACGCTGCTAACGATTTTCTTCGATTCTAAAGGAATTTCTGCCAGAAGGTCAAACAGTGAATTCTGATTATTATCTCGGAGTCCTCGATCGTTTTTGGGTGAGAATTCTTCAAAATCAACCTGAATATCGAGAGCAAGGTTCCTGGTCACTCCTCCACGACAATGCCAAACACCACAAATCGAAGATCGTGTGCGATTTTTTGGCCAGAAAACGGATCACAGTCCTTGATTATCCGCGTATTTGCCAGATTTTGCTCCAGCAGATTTCTGGTTGTTCCCAAAAGTTAAGTTGGCGATGAAAGGAGACTGTCACGACACCATCCAGGACATCCAAAGGGAATCTACCACAGTTCTAAATGTGATTCCACAAAAGGAGTACAGTGACTGTTTTCATAAACTTTTCAATCAATTCCAGCTATGTATTGATTCGGAAGGAGACGATTTTCAATAAAAAGACTTAAATTTTGAAAATAATTCACGTCTTTTATTTTTAATGAACACAGTCCTAACAGAACCTGGACACACTGTGTATGCCCATGCATAATGATGTGCAACTGCAGCAGGGTCAGAAGAAAACAGCAGCTAATTCATAAATTCATGAAAAATTAAATACTTAGTAAAACTCTGCATAAAACATACTATGCTTCTAATACTCTTTGTCTTTACAAAAATAAGATAGGTTTTACATACTGCAAGAAAGATCTGTAGCACATTTCAACCTTACCTCCATTTGAGCTTTGAATTGCATTTCCTGTTGCTGGGCCATTTCCAAATTTTGTTGCAGCTGCTGAATCTTCATGTGACTGATAATCTACACATGAAAGAGAATGATAACATCAGTATCATTCATTTTCTTTTTTTGTTTATTTCTCCCCCCCCAATTTTTTTTTTTTTTTGTTTTGTTCTAAACCTTTCATTTTTTCTCTGTTTATGAAAAATTTTATGTGCCAAGTATGCCTTCACAAAACCAGTCAAATATTATTAATACTAGTACTATACTAACAAACATCCATTATTAACAATTCTCAAATCTGGAAATAAAATATATAAAACATTTAATAAAATGAATATACAGAGGGTCCCAAAAAGACTTCATGGTTGTCAAGTTAAACTATAAACTGACACAATTTTTAACTTCACAAACAAATACAGCGTTAACAGTTCGCACATCATATAGACATACCTGATGATACTATGTTGACTGAAATATGTCGTACCAATGTAATGTTTAAGAAATGTACAGTGACATTATAAACAATTAAATAAAATGACAATATCCTAGTGTATCACTAAAAAGAGCTCCATACAGATAAATGGACAAACATAATATTAAGTTTACTGTTATTATTTTGATTTGATGCAGAACTGTGTATAATTTAAATTTTAAATTCACAAAGAAATGTGTAAATAACATTAATCTGTTATAGGTCTGAAACAGTGACCAATGAATAAAATATTGTCCACTAACTGAAATAATCAACTTTTTGGCTTACTTCAAGTTGTGACTTGTACTGAAGTTCCTGCTGCTGAGCTGCTTCAAGAGTCTGTCTCAAGTGCTGGATCTTGGCCAGGTTCTGTTGGCGTGCGGCCTCAATGTTATCAAAAGGTGGGCGCTGAGGGGCCCCTGGCATCATTCCTTGAGCACCTCTTATGGGTCCTCCTGCACCAGGCTGCTGCTGATTGCCACCAGGACCTCCTAAGTGTCTCTCTGCATTCTGAAAGTGTTAATCAAACAATTTACATTACCAAACAGAAGGGAACAATTTACTGGTAATGTATTTCTAAAGCTTCTTGCAAGTTATGTCAATATACTGAGTAGACAGTCTCGCAGATGAAAATCCCTGTGTTCAATGGGACTCGCAAGCATGTAGCCAATCCAAAATTCGAAATTTCCCAACCATAATTCTGTACACATGTCTAAAGAAGTTTTGGAAGTCTGAAAAGAACACCACCACTAGGGTACCTCTAGTGAATCAAACGAACAACAGATACCAAATTCCTAAGTACAAATACTGACAAAACTGTTAGCCTACAAAAGTGCTGCACTTACTTGCAACCCAGACAACTGTGCAGGAGAAGCCTGACTATTGGCCCCTCCTGCACCACCTGCCCCTTGTTGTCCCAAAGAAACAACCTGCTGCTGCATTTGCTGGGCTGCTGATGTCACTACATTCTGTGTGATCTGCCCACCTCCCATGGTCATTGGGTTAGTCTGGGACATCATGATTCCCCCTTGTGGGCCTTGCTGAGGGTTAGTTTGCTGTTGACCTGGTTGGGGCCCACCTCCTTGAGCCCCCATAGATCCAGACAGTTGTTGCTGTTGTTGCTGTTGTTGTTGTTGTTGTTGTTGTTGTTGTTGCTGCTGCTGCTGCTGCTGCTGCTGTTGTTGCTGCTGTTGCTGAGGATTCATGCTTAACCCAGCTGATGGTGCTGGTAGGGCTCCAGCACTGGCCTAAACAAATATATTTGTTGATGGAATCTGGAGTTTAAAAAGTGATTAAGATATAGACTCAGATCTTTTTATGACATTACGTACTTCTGTAGTTAGCTACAAACATTTTGGAAGAACATTATTTCGTCTAGCTTGTAGATAGAAACAGCACGTTCCTCTGAAATATTAGTAACAATGTACGAAACTAGTGTCATACCCCAGAAGACCACTATCTAAATGTACAGGATGTCGGAGGAGGAAAGGTCAATACTGTGGGAGGTCACAGTATCAGTTACTCTACGAAAAAAAGTGTATGTGTACATGTCCCATTCACAATCGTTTCCGAGATGGAGCTATTTCACTGTACAGTACACTGTACACTATACACTGTACTGATGAGCAACGCATCATGTCCTCACACAAGTTGCAAAGTGCATTGATGTTGATGGTGGAATTTCCAAAAATGTATTTTACTGGGTAAGCTGTACAAACTTTGTCACTTGAACAATAAATACCGTTAGTCAGTATAGCAACTGGGTATGGTCTGGACGACCAAAGGGACAGAGTTCAAGTTCAGGTATGGTAAAAAAATTTTTCCATGTCATCCAGACCAGCTCTGGGGTCCACCCAACCTCTTACCCAATGGGTACTGGGGGGCCTTTTCCCGGGGATAAAGTGACCAGGGTGTGAAGCTGACCACTCATCTCCAGCTTGTGCCAAAGTCAAGAAAATGTGGATCTATATATCCACTCTCCCATACGCCTTCATGCTGTAGTGCTTAATTAGTTAAGCAGGGAAAACATTACCTTACCTTTTTATTAGAAACAGTATGTAGTAACTCTTTCTTATCTACAATTTGAAACTTTGCTTAGAATGATTGATACTATGACCTTCCTGAATACTGACCTTTCCTCCTGGGACACCTGTATATGTCAGATATCTAAATGCCTGGTCACTCCTTTGGAATGCATCATGAAACAATATAACACATTCATATTTGTTTATATCGTAAATATGCAATCACACATATTACATGAGTATGAAAAACATGTGTATCTAATACCACAGTACACAAAGAGCTATTATTTCATACCCAAATGCCATGTGAGAAGAAAACCACAAATAAGGGCATGTGGTTCGAAGGTGAACTTGAACTCAGAGATGTAGGTCTGAAATTCTGCTAAGTTAACCTGCTCAATATGGATCCCTCTTAAGAATTTTTCCAATGGACCAAGCAGTACAAACGTCTATATATTTCTTCTCTGTGTTTATATATAATACTCATAATATAATACAAGAATATATGGTACAAAGTCAGACACTTCCATGCAACTTCAAGAGATTCAACTTATGTGTTCACACAAAAGTTTAGCATGTGAAGTCAATACTACTACAAACTTCTGCTGTATATAAAAAAAAAGACATGAACGATGAAAAAGTCACTACTAGTTCTACCTAACTGATACCACCACCAAGAGCTTGGAAGGTGTTACTTTATACAAATGTCTGCTCTTCTCTTATTCATTTCTGTATGTAACACGATCCAACAAAAATTTATTAAATGAGTAATACATTTGATACAAGCCTTTGAATTACCCTTCTTAAGTAGGATCTCTCTTTACACAAGAAACTTTTTATATAAGAGTCACATACATTATTAATGGCGATGCTTTAGAACCTAATAATTTTAATTTCTTATCCAGAAAATCATTTTAAGGGGAATCTTCTTATATGGGAAGCACTCAATATTTATTTTAATATTCAACATAGTGTGTAAGTCTTCTTGAAAATCAGAGAAACATCAAACTCTGGTGACAAGAACGGAAAGTTTGTCCCTCAGCAAGATTCATGTTACTAACCTGGCCACCCTGTTGTCTGATAAGGGCCTGTGTAGTCTTCTGATGCTGGATCACCTTACGAAGTCTATCAACAAATGCTGCTTGATCATTGGGAATGAATCCAAGATATGCACGTTTCTCTGCTGTGTACAAAAGAATCAAGACCTTGATGTCACACGTTTGCGGTGAGGAAATACTTGTAAAGTGGACACAGCCAGCCTGTAACCAAAATTTTACAACTATAATGGACAAAATGGATACATCACAACAAGAGCAGAAAAGTATAATTCAACAAGTAAACATATTTGCCAAATGTATTCTCTGTAATTTTACTGTTCATTGTACTTTATATCCATTTATTTGTTGCTGTAAAAGTAATTACACTGGAGAGTGTCAGAAAATAGTGTATGGTGAACACTTGATTATCTGAGGTAACTGAGGAGAGAGGAAGTGCATATAAATAAAAACAGATAATCCAAAAATCTGAAAATATTCCTATCCTTGGTGAATTCAATGCTGAAAATCACTCATACTTATTGGCTGTGCCATTCACTAAATAATGAGACATATGGTGGATGGATTGATGAATTGATGGATATTATCTCCTAATTATGGATTCAACATGTACTTCATGCAAATAATGCAGAAACAGTTAACTGAAAATATGATTTTGTTAACATATGAAGAAGACCATAAGCATCAGAAAGTTCAGCAATGTTTATATTTGTGTCCTTAAAAGCTTAGCCAATTGAGACAAATGAGAAGGAATGCATTTCCACAGTGAGACCGTCCGTAGAGCGAATTCTAAATATTCCCTTTCACTTTCATTGATAATCATTAAAAAAGACTTGGCAGTTACAAAAGCACGTGAACTTACAGCACTGGTTCTAGTAGCACAACACTACCATATCATAGGAGATTTTATTCATGTAAAAACAATAAGTGATCCCCATACCGTTTAATGATACTTTTCATAGCAGCTGTGATTTCTGCCTTCAATTTCTGAACATCCTAGGTGACAATATTAACTGATAATAAACTCCCAACTTTTCAGTCTTCTAGAACATTAAATTCCTTAATTTCAGTCCAATTACTGCTTCATTTTTCATGACTCTGTAATATATAGCATAATGTGACAGGGACTTACAAATCCTGAACTCATAACTTTGGTGAGGGACTCGAGTGCTTCACAGTTTTGCGGATGAAAGAGAACAGACTTAGAGTTCTTTAGATATGCACCCCCGATGTTCCCAATCAGCTGCTTTGGCATCAGCTGCATTATAAGTTTCTGAGGCCATGAGTCAGCTTTCCTGCAAATATGCAATAAACATTAATTAGTATTAATTGCGTTATGAAACAGTGTGAGATAAAGGTAAACCTATCCCTGTAACAGGCCGTGAAAGCCCCATAGGGCTGTGAGATGTCAAAACAATTATCACTTTTAATTCTATCTTTTTTTAGTGCAGGAAAGAAGAAAATTTCCAAACTGTAAAGACAACAAAAACTGCTGTACCTACCCTTAACTTTACCAACACCTTGGTACACATAAAATGTAATACTTACAGGTCTGTTTCACCTTCTCTGGGGTTAGATGACACTTGACAAGGAACATGTCGTGTAAGTTTCTGAGTGTCATTGGGACTCTTGGCTTTCTCAATCCATTCCACAACTCCCTGCCATAATGGCTGACGCTGTTGGTTTCCGACCACAGGTGGCTGCCCCGGCTGCTGCAATGAATGTATAATGTTGTGAAATCAAGTTTTAAAAATGAATTATGCTTACATACCAATTCAGTTCAGCTAACCACCCACATCAGCACCAATAATTATAACTATTCATTGTCATAAATTTGAAACATTCTCCATTACAGGATGCCAGAACTTTCCTCATGATTCCCACTCACTCTTTCTTTGTGACTGCATGAGGATGTTTAAAACATCATGAAGACAAAACATCTCAACACTGATATGTGCTAAAATTCCAACAATGGTGTCAATTCTGTCAGAGTTTTTGAGAAATATTAATTCTCAAATGAAAAAAGGAGACCTGCTTCCCACAGTTTTGAGTAATGATCGGAACACTTAAGAATATTTAACAAGAATGATAATGTTACCATTACATTCATTAGATATCAAATGGACACTATATGGTGTGCAGTCTGTAACATTTTTTGAGTACTTATGATCATGATGACTTGGAAAAACTGTTTTGAACTTAATTGGCTGCAGATGTTACATGGTATAAGGAGATTCATATGAAAAAAGAGGTTTAATTCTATTTGTAACAGAAAACAGCTTGGATTAGTTTGATTTGTTTCATCCTGGTCCTTCACACTAACAATATTATAAAAGGTTAATTAATTCCATCCAGTGTGACTGATGAAGTTCTTTTTTCTCCTTTTTCATATTTTATCCTTAACATGTTTTGGTCTTATATGCCATCTTCAGAAGAATATCAATACAATTAGAAACCATTATTACAATATGTTATACGTGCAAAATATTAATACTCACAAAACATATTGTAATAGTGGTTTCTAATTGCACTGATATCCTTCTGAAAATGGTCTATAAGACCAAAACATGTTAAGGATAAAATATGAAAAAGGAGAAAAAAAACTTCATCAGTCACACTGGACAGAATTAACCCTTTATAACAGCTTGGATTGTTCAAACCTTCAAAGTTTTTTACATTACTGAACTGATTTTCATCACTCAAATGTCCTGTGGCTTTTTCATATGTAATCAGTTAGTGACAACACAAAAACAGTACCTAAACTGTCTTCAGAACATCCTTACATATAAAAAAAAAAAGTAACATTACATTAAACTATCACAAATGTGCATTACTAATCACTCATAAATTAAAATTTAAAGGCTACATTTCACTGAGACACGCTGATTTTTATTAAGAACCATCTATGTAAGATTTCCGTTTTCACAGTAGTTCATACTGTGCTCTTCAAGGGTATGATAGAACATAGGCTAAACAGTGTCATAACCCATAAGACCATAACAAGAACCATCTGCTTTACACTCTTCCTCAAAGAGTGGACAATTAGGGAGCTGGTCAAGAAATTTTCCATTTTGATGTGCCTCGAAGTCCAACAATTAATCATATCTTGAGCCAGGTGGCTCCAGTTCATTCTTTTACAGTCTGTTTTTCTAAGATTCACTGTAATGTTGACAACTCATGTACCATTATCTCCTGCAAGTAGTCTGGTCTCTGAAATTCAGAAAATGGCACTGCATGTCCCTACCGCTGTCTTACCTGTTGTGGTACTGATGGCTGTCCCCCTGGAGGTGTGCCTTGCTGTGGAGTTGCAACAGTCTGCTGCGGGCCGATATTCTGGGGTTGCTGGCCTGAAGGAGCACCAGATTGGTTTGGCTGTGGTGGCGGTTGGGCCTGCTGCCCCGGACCCTGCTGCTGTCCGGGTCCAGGGCCAACCATAGATGGTAAATTCATAGAACCGCCTTGTCCAGCCTGCTGAGGTACTCTTGACATATTGTGCATTTGCTGCTGCTGACCCATCACTGGCGGAGGGTTGTCTGTAACAAGAAATTGTAATTTCCACATTAAAGACTTGCCAAAAATTGCTTTGTATTCAATACAAGATGTAACATTCTCATGGCAATGCATATTAAGATTACATGAAAGCCTCAGACAGAATAGCGAGCATCCCATTTGAGATTCAAACTGAATTTGGCCAGTTACATTAACAGCTAAAAGAATCATGTTTGGTCAGCGACTAAACCAGATGAGATCAAGGATTAGTCGCTTACATGATCAGAAGGTTGGTGTGTGGTGCACCATATCACAAAATCGGATAATCGGCCCCACATTCTTTGTCGACACTATCAACTTGGAATGTTACTGTGATTCTTCAGACCTTCACTGGACATCTCAATAAGGATGAAATTGCCCACAGCTGCTTCAAACAGGATGGTGCTACTGCACGATGTGTTGGGGGACAGAATAATTTCAAAGGACATTTGACCACCATGGTGGCCTGATCTTACACCCCCTGATTATTATTTGTGGGGAGCAATGAGAGGAGCAATTTACAAAGACAATCCTCACACTCCCCTTGAACCGAAGGTAGCTATCACAAATTTAATTAGTTACTTCCATCTGACTGAAGTGTCTCAAGCCTTTGCAAACAAGATAAGACATGTAGATGCGCATCTACAGGCACACAGGACCATTTCCACCATCTGTTGTAACTTAGGCATGATAATATATTTACGAACATTAATACTAGGAATGAGGTGGTTATATCATTTGTAGTGTAGGTTTGCAGTGACTTGCTGCTCACCTGTATTAAACATAAATAATGAAAGCCATGTCATAGGAAAGGAGCAGTCAACAGATCAGGTGAACTGGTCTGCAATTGATTATCAACTATGGCAAAGTTTGACTACAGAGAGCTTAATAAATGTTCTAAAGCCTTTCAAAGGGATATTATAATCAAACTTGCACACTGTTGTGTACAGGTCATCAGTATCATTTTAAATATATTAAACGGAAATTTCTATAGACTGAAATCTACAACCACGTAGCTTTCCTTTCAAGTGGTGAAAGAGAAAGAAATCGCACGGTGCGAGATCAGGGAGTATGGAGAGTGTGGCAAAATGGTGACCTGTTGCCTTGCCAGTTCCTCTTGGACAAGAACAGAGCCATGTACAGGGGCACTGTCGTGTAGCAACAGCCAATTGTTCATATGCCAAATGTTTTGCTAAGGGATTTTCCTAGTTTTTGGCAGAACTTGATGTTTGACCATTGTTCAAACTGCCACATTTTCGATTGCCACCACTTGCATTTAACTGCAGTTCACAATAGAGGCCGTAGTTCTGCTTACACTGTTTGCACACAACTGCCTCTTGCTGTGACAAGAGATGAACTGACAGGGCATCAGATTGTGCCTCAACCTATCTGCTGTAGTGCACTGCAACAACGCTTTGCCACCAGTCCACAAACTTACTGACTGCAGTAGTATCTCAACATGTTTACATTTAAGTTGTGTTTCCCTACTACTACTGTCATGTCACCCCACTTCATTTTCACTTTCTTTCCAACTTCCTTGAGCACTTCTTTTCGATTTCGTCTGACTTTACCACAGAACTTTATGGCATTATAAAGTATTATCTATTTCTTCTTTATTATCAGTAGATGAAGACAAGTACAGACAGTTAGTAAAATGAGAATTGGTGGGGGAAACTGAAGTACTTAAAGAAAACATTCCCCAGTGCCACTTTGTCCACCACAAATCCCACATCTGATACAGAACTGAACCTGGGCCTTTCTGAAACACAGGACATGCCTTTTCTACTGAACAATATTACATTAAATCTGAGTGCATCTTATAGTCCAAAGGTAGTTGGAGATAATAGGAATGACCAAAAATACTCCAAAATAGGGATTTACTTGGCATGTTACCCCATGCCCCATTGGTACCTTTTTTTTTTTTCTTTTTTGGATGATTTAAGTTTCAAGAAACCAAAATGTGTCTCCGCACAATGCACAGCTGCCATGAGTGCAATAGGATTTTATGAGTACTATACTGATGGTAGAATTATTTTGTACTATCAACACCACTGTTTGAAATTAGAAGATATTTTCATACACTACAGGGTTTAAATTACAGTAGGACACACAGAAACACAGCAGATGGAAGACACAAACTGAAAAAATAATACACATTGGGAAATCAAGAAAGCAGATTAGCGAAAACAGACAAGAGCAAACACTGCTTTTGTGCCTTTATACAAGAGGTGTCCCCCTCCTTGGTGTCTCCACCTTATCGTGGTGAGGGGGTTTGAGTATGCCAAGGACCCTGAGAGCTATACCAGCGGTAGCGTAGCTACGGGCAGGGCCTCCCTTGCTGGACAGATCAAAGGGTAGGCATCAGACGAAGAGAGACACCGAAAACTGATGTCGGAAGCAGCGTCATCAGCAGCGACTTGAAGCACAGAGCAAATGATGCTCGAGATGGTTCAAGTTCGTATAGCAACAGGCGTGACCAGAGTGGTTTGAACAGCTGTTGTACTGCGATGTGGAAAGCAAATGGAAAAACTACCACATTATCACTTTTCCTGGATAGTCTCGTTCCAAAAACAGAAGATCGCATTAAGTGGAGAAACTGTTTTGGAAGAGACTGTGGACCTGTCGTCTGACAGATTACTGATGATGATGATGACAAGAGGTGAAAAACTGTGATCACAGCAGTAAATTATGTCTTACACTCCAGCACACATTACAATCCAGAAAATAATGTAACGTCCATTTTAAAGTGGTACCATTAATCTTATAGAAAAGGCATCTGGTAGTTTCAATCCATAGATCAGAACTTAATTAAGAGTGATCAGCTGCGTACATTGTCACAGGGTAGCAAGGTTATACTGCAAAGCAGTACCTCAAACCACACCTCAAATATCCGTTCAGTTAGCATCATCTCAAAAAGAAAATAAAACCTCAAACAGTTTCTTAACCTCATGAAGAAGTTTCACAGATAAAAAAATTAATACTTCAACTGACCACATGATTCATATAAGTTTGGTGATAACAGGATGGTGAAAAGTGTCTGGAAGGGTTACAAAAGGTATGAATTTCCTCAGTTATGAAAACTGCAGTCTTCTGGGCTAAGATATTGTGTAGTCTGATATGTGGTTACTTATATTACAGAGCAGCACACTGCTTCCATCTTCAGGATAGAAGACTGAAGAAAATATTCTTCCAAAATGTTGAGTTCTTTGTGGGTTATTTTATGATGCTGTCAGTAACGAGACTATACTGTATAGTGCTGAATGGCAGGATGACTGACAATGAACTGGAACAAATTTGGAACAATGAAGTCATATCTTAATTGAGGCACTAACTTGGCATTTGTCTGAAATGACTGAGGAAAACAAAAAAAAAAATTCCCTCAGTCAGGACAGCGGTGTCCTGGCCGAGATTTGAGCTAGCCACCTCCTGAACACAAATCTTCAGCATTATCTCTACACAAACCTGTTCTGTCCAAAGTTCGGGTAGACTAGAGAATGTTGTAACCCAGAAGACCACAATACAGACCAAGATGCATTATTCTTCATATGGAGTTTCAGAAAACTGAGCAACTGATGTCTATAATAGTGATATTTGCCAGTCACAATAGCCGACCAGTCTAAAGCATGAACTTTCTTTGCTCACTCGGACATTGGGATCATGTGTTCGAATCCCACTCAGGGCATGGATGTTTGGTGTATCTGTTTATTCTGTGTTTGTATTGTCGTGTGTTTAGGTAAAGGCCTTGTGACGAGCTAATCTCATCCAAGGAGTCCTGCCATCTGTAAAAATGATTGTGAAACTAAAAGAAGAGGCCTGGGCCCATGGGGGCTGTAAAGCGAGCGAAAAAAACAGTGAGATCCAAATTTTAAACCAGAGACACACAACTGTGTGTAGCTCATCACAAGTATCTGAAGAGGAAAAAAACAAGAGCTGTTATAGTATTTTTTAAAGAACATAACAAAGACATAACATGAACTTCATATGATCACAATTTTATCTGTCATTAAGAAATATCAGAAAAACTGGTATGAACATTTTGGGAGGATGTGCAATCCAAAAGGGTTAAGGTACAGGTAACCATAAAGCTGATGATCCTTTTGTTTTTGCCTTACTTGCTACACCTCCCCATAACATAATATTTTTCATTAATTCCCAGAAATAAGAGATCACTATGTATCAGCAAAACATAAGGACTTCACATACACTGTAAACAGTTTTCACAAACAGATAACATTCAGTTACTTGATATCAAACTTTGAAAACTTGCAACACTCACTTTGGTTGAACTGTCCACTCACTGCCAAAGCTGTGGGATTTACAGCAGGACCCATCGATGGTTGCGTCAGCTGAGCAATGAGGGCACTCTGGTTTGGAAACTGGCGTGATTGCTGCTGAGGCTGCATTATGGGTAGAGGCCACCGTGGAGGACGATTTTGCACCAGTATACCTTGGGAAGGGTAAGACTGTGGAGGCTGCTGGGGAAACAAGATCGCATTCCTGGGGTTGGGGTGCATCACACCCTGCGGTGGATGTTGCTGCTGAGGAGACATTACAAGCCCCTGCAATGGAAAACAGAAATGCTAGGCATAAAATGAGTATTAGAGTGCAGTCACATTTTATACAAACTAGAAATAGTGCAACATAAAAAATATAAGTAATGTATTGCTTTATGCCCAAAGTTTTAAATAATGTGAATCTCAAAAAATGCAGCAAGTGTCACATGTTATTCTTATGCGAAAACTCATCCTGAATTATGCGAGGTCTTCAGGAATGCATCCTTGCACAAAATGCAACCACACCATATTATATAACAATTTAATTACTGGTAATTCCATGGAACAGTGTCCTTACCTTTCTGGACCTGTTGAGCAACTACTGGCTTTTCAAGGACCCTGCTGTATGTAGTTAATGCTAGCCACAAAAACCAGACAGCTTCAAGTTTGATGTGGAACATACCTGAGTCTGAGCAGGTCTAAATACAGCAGGCTGAACACCCTGGGAATTCATCATTGGTGTCTGCTGTTGTGGCATGCCTGCAGCTCCTCCAGGGCAAGGTGGCATGGTACCCATGGGACTTCCATTGTTCTGATTGGGACTAGATGATGGCATTGAAGAAATGTTTGCTGTGGGATGTCCAATGGGTCCTGGTGTGGGGCTGATAGGTCGCTCCTTCAAGCTGTAATACAAACAGAAGTTCAACTGTGAAAATTATTATTATTTCAGCAAGAACATTCATGTAAAACAAGCATGAAAATGGCAAAAATAAATGTAAGGAAAATATAAGATTTGAAGCTTCCAAGGAAAATACACACAGGTGATCAGCCATGTTTTGGTTGGCTAAAAACAAACATTTCTGAGACGTGCTGTTTCCTTTATCAGGGCTGATACGGAGAATGAATGACTCATTAAAGAGACATAACACTGATTGGAAATATATGTGACTTACATCTATCCTGGGCTGCACCATAGCTCAAGCGGTTAGTCACTGGCTTCCCACCGTGGTGGCCCGAGTCCAATCCCGGGTCTGGTTAAGTGGGCTTTGTGGTGAACAAAGTGGCGCTGTGGCAGGTTTTCTCCGAGTACTTCGGTTTCCCTTGCCAATCTTCATTCCACCAATTGCTTCACAATCACCCTCACCTACCATCTGGGGCTGGTACAATAGGCCAGAAGTGGGACTTTGTCCCACCTCAATAGCAATAAAAAGAATAATACATCAATCCTGATGATGGAGACAAAGAAAAGTCTCCAAAACACTGATTTTTAATAGAACCATGCCTTGGCTGAATGCTCATACAGACTATAAAAGGAAAATGCTGTTATCAATTTTTCTTTCATCTTTGCCCTAACCACCCTGAAAGAGCAGATGATTACTACAAGTATGAATTACAGACTACAGTACGTCTATTCTTATATTCATGCTGGGCTCCAAACTGTGCCTGGCTATTAGCATTAAAATGTAAATATGAGAACAGGCTGACATTCAAATGTTTACAGTAAAGGTCCCAACACCACTGACACGATTATTACAATTACCTGTATCCTTTGAGTAGAACTAGGTGACGTGGGTCCTTCGCATAATTCTTTGTCTGTGAAGTTTGGAGATCACCTCCAGCTTTCTCGTATAACTTGAACAAGGCTGGTATCTTCCGTGGTGATAAGATCGATAAGTGGATACCTCTCTGTAAAAATATTTTAAAATTACAGTGTGCACTTCAGTAGAATGTATTTTGAATGCTAAACAAAGATGCAAACTGATTAAGGCACTCAGTTACTACCATGTGTATCCATTATCATCTTACTTCTTGCAGCAGAACAGCTAACTGCTCCACAGAGTGTCCAGCAAACGTAGCGGACTCCATGACAGGCAAGAGGTAAGGAGGTGAGTTACAGACTAATATACAGTGTTTCTGGGGCAATAAATTGGGCTCCCGCCTTTGCTGCAGATCTTCAAAGCACTGCAATGCAGTGGCAAGTCCTTCGGCAATATTTGCATGAGATTCTCCCTTACCACCCACCAACCTAAACAAAGAATGCAAAGTACAATAAGTTAGTACTTCCTTTATTTTATACAATTCATCTCTTTTAATGTAACTGAACATGCAATTCTCTAAATGGTGAAATTTAACACATTATATTATTTTAGAGAGTTAATATCTTAGAAAATTACTGAAGGAGATATCTAACTCCTTCCAACCTCAAGAGCAAAGTTAGCAGATTTTGGCATACAACAATGAATACATATACAGTAATATCTGACTCACTTCAGTTTTGCCAAATGTGGAGTTCAAGTATTCCCTGTTTTGTTTCACCAGCCATGATACCTGGTTGTATGCACCTGCAGTTTCTAATCAGTATATACGATGGGGTACCCAAAAGAAACCGAACTAATTTTTTTGTGGGCAGAGCTTTTGTTGTACCGCGTTTTGCCGCTGTGAGCGCATAGAGCTAACATTCCTGAGTCGATAAGCCGACTACCGTTGCTTCAGAAGGTAAGGACTAGTTTCGGCAGAGTTTATAGTGACAACTGTTTTGTGATCATTTTTGCAATGGCTGATTTTCGTGAACAGCGCGCGGCAGTGAAATTCTGTTTTTGCTCGGGAAAAGTGGAACAGAAACTCTTGAAATGTTAAAAACAGCGTACAAGAACGATGCTATGGGGAAAACTCAAGTGTTTGAGTGGTTTTC